CGGGGCGCGGGCTCGGCGCAGTGTGGCTCCGGCGCCGCGCTCCCTCTCTCTCATAAGGAGGGAGGGGGCGGGCGAGCGGGCGGGCTGGGGGTGTCGCCCTCCGGACTCATCCATCTTCCTCAAATTACGCTTCACTTCCTCCCTCCGCCCGCCGCTGCCGCGCCCGGCTCCGCTCCCTCCGCAGAGCCCGTTCCCAGCGGCCCGGCCGGCCGGCCCGGGACCCCCGCCCGCTCCCCGCGGCCCAACCAACTATTATTAATGGAGATTGATGAGGCCGGACACGCCGCTTTGTGAAAGTTTGCGGCCGACGAGAAGGCGGCGGCAGCTGCTGGGCCGGTGCCCCTCCCTCCACCCAACCCGCCCCCACTCAGCCCACCCTGCCCGGGCGTGGACGTGGCGCGGGACGCCAGGCAAGGAGAGCGCCCCGGGAGGGGCCGGACCACAACGCCCCAGGCCCCGGGCCGCCGCCCTCCGTCGGACCCTGGGCCGGGCCCCGGCGTGCCTCCCCGCCCCCGACGCCCCCTCCCCGGCCGCCCCAAGAGCAAGCCGTGGCCACGCGGGCTGGACGGGACCTCGGCGCCTCCTCGGGCGGCGAGGCGGGAACGGCAGGGGGGGCGCTCTGCCGCCGGGCGCCGCAGCTCAGGGCCCGTGGACGGGGGGGGGGTGGGGGGGGGGGGGGCCTTTTCCCCTTGGTAGTTTTTTCCCCCGACTCCATTCCCCTCTCCCCGGGTCTCTTTTCTCTTGACATTGGCTCTTCCCCTTCTTCCTCGTCCCCGCCTCCGACGCGGACTGCCTCAGTTCCTCGCTGTGGCCTCTGTGGGTAATTTCCTCGAGCGCCCACACTCTGCCAAGTACGTACCATTCCTCTCACCTTTCCCCTCCGTCTTTCTCCCATCCCTTACATGCTTTTGCTTCCTCCACTCTTCCCTTTCCTGCCGTCCTTCCTACTCCTATCTGATTATTCCTATTTCTCGTTCCCTATCCCAGTTGTCTTATTCTATTTTTCCCCCTCATTTCTCACCTATATCCTGTATCTCTTGTCTATCTCGCTCTCCCTCCCTCTCTCTCCCTCTCTTCTGCTATTAATTTCCCTGATTGGCTCCCCGGCTCCAGCACCGCTGATGAGCCCTATTCATTCCTGGGCCTGACACTCTCGACCTGCCCTAGCTGATTGCTGGGGGCTGGCCCCAGGAGCGCTGATGAGCCCCGAGGGTCAGCAGTGCTAATTATTCGCTAATTGCAGATGACTCCGTTCACCTCCCCCATTCTCAAACACAGAAATGGTAGCGTCTTTTACCACCCCCACCCCCTATTCCCAGCGGTATAGTTGTCAGTCTAGAGGCAAAAGTCATGGGCACTTTTGCTCGATAGGTCAGCCGGCAAAAAAGACTTAAGACAGGCAAGTCGACAGGAGAGTGACGCGAATTTCAGGATCCAGAGCAAGCCTAGCTAGCTAAAATGAAGGTCACCTGGTCACCGGGAAACTGTTACTCAGGTGGGCCAGGGAGAGCCAAGCCAATTAAAAGTAATAGCAAAGCCAGGCCAGTTTAGGAAGATGCAGTCTAGATAGGGGAAGTTACTTGGCTCAGGTGAGGAGGGAAACCTCAGGTGAGGAGGGAAACCTATGCCCAAGAGTCTCGGGGTTTCTGAGCCAAGGCAGAGCAGGCAGGAGGGAACTCTGGATCTCAGTGACATTTGTTCAAATCAGGAGTGTTGTGGTGGCCTAGTGAATACCACTAATGTCAGACGTATGACAAAACAGCACCCTGAAAGATACTGTCACTAGGGTGGGACAGAAAAGGGTGGGACCCTAGAAGGGACCTTTCTTTGGTTATGCTTGATTGACAATTCATCAGGGAAAAGGAGAAGAGTGTGGTTTCCATGAAGTCCTGACCTATCTTGGGCTCTACATTAAACTCATGAAACCTCTTAGAGACAAGTCTGGTGGGAAGATGTCGCCATGGAGAAAGAAGAGGCGCCTCACCTTAGGTCTGGGAACCCTGCCTCCCTACAAGGGTACTAGGATAATCTTTGTACATCCTCCTAAAGATCTTCTTCAGAACCCTTTGCTAAATTAACCAAGCACTTCAGGGTACCAATATGGAAGACCAGACTTCAAAAGTGTACTGTACTTTAAAAATGAGAGGTCATTATTTGGTTTGATGGCTTTACAGTGTTGGATACACAATAGAGGCTTATTGACTTGATAAATTATTGAGAGAACTTTGGGTTACAATCACTGAAATTAAAGCTGTATGAGCAGTAACAACACCAATCAAAGCATGAAGGAAGAGACAGTTTTTAAAGGAACTGCATTCATTTTTTCTATAGGTAATAAAATTATCTAGTACAAAATTCCAAAAACTCAACGGGGTATATACTGAAACATCTCCCTCCCACCAGTACCCCCCCACACACACACACACACTCATAAAAGGCCACTTTAATAAGCCTGTCGCTCTCTGGTAGGACAGAATGGATCATGCACTGTCAGGGACTCAAGGTTAAAGACCCTCTGATCTTGAAGATGTATGTCATCCAGCTCAAGCCAAGAGCTTATTGCCCAGAACTAGACTTAGTAAAGTGAAATCCTCTGCTCAAGCTGGCAGAGGGTACAGGCTTAAAGCTTGTTGCCAACAAATCCCAGCTGGCCCCCAAACCTGAAATGAGGCAAGTGAAGCCCCAGGGACTTTGTATTGCCCTGGTGTGCTGCATGTTTGCTGGATACTGTATTTTGTAACCCATTTATGTACCCGATCTGCCCCCTGGCCATGCTCAGTCATGAAGTGTGACTTCTGCAGAGTCCTTGACATTCACTGGCTACCCCAGGATGAAAGCCACGTACACAGTGGCAACCGAAGCAACCCATTCCCTCTCCCTGCCCTTCTGTAGACTGCAGAACCAAGGCCAAATGGTAAATGGAAAAAAGCACTGGCTGGAGTAGTAAGAGTGGAGTTCAGTTTCTGTTCTGACCCCTCACAGAGCCATGTAACCTTGGCCCCTCTGACTTAACTCCATCTGTGAGAGAAAGTGATAAGTATCTACTCTGCCAAAAAGCCAGTGCAAGGATCAAGCGAACATGAAGAAATGCCTTTCAAAATACCTTCCCTTCCTGCACTAAATGGACAGAGAAGAGCACAGTGGTCGAGAAGAGAAGTCCCCTGGATCGGTGGCTCTCCTCTACTTCACCATCAGGACCAGGGAAGAAGCGGTCACTATCAACTCTGAATAGAGCTGGCTCCTCTCTTCACCAAGAGGAAACTCTGTGCTTCTCTTACTGAATCTCCGAACAGGCCCATTGTGGGCAAGCACTTTTCTCACTGTCCAAAACAGTATTCTGCTTCTTTAATTGTCCACATACTCTAACTTGTCCCACTCTCACGATTTCACCTGTTGGGTAAAGGCTCATACAGAGGAATTTTATCTTGAACCTACCCTCTCTCTGCTTGTCCCTATATCGGACCTCACCATCTGGCCTCCCCTTCATGGTTTGGAAACCAGCACCCAGGATACCAAGAACGAAGTATTCTAAAGTCAAAGCCAAAGTATCTGTACCTCCACTTATTGGCGGGAGAGAGTCCACTCAGGATGGGCAGCGTCGGGCCCTGCCCGCGGCCACCCTCTGGTGGCAGCAGCGCGCAACTGCGTCAGCGTGAGTGAAGTGCGGGGTACTGCAGCGCCCCCTGGCGTTAGTCCAGGAGACGTGCGAGGGCACAGGAACCCGACCAGGTGAGCCTTCCTAGGGCGCGCGCGCTGGGTGCCGCTGCGGGGTATTTAACTGTGAAGGCACTGGTTGGGCGGGGGGGATTGCACCCAGGAGTCTTAAAGTCTAGTATGCATGAGTGTAGGTTCGTGTATATTTTTCGTGTCCAGTTACTTGAACCCCGTGTATCTGTTGTGTAAAATGTGTGCCGTTTGTGTGTGCGCACGCGTCACACGTGGGTAGGTTGGTGGTGGGGAGGTCCGCGCCTCCAGTGCAGGGCGGAGTCCTCACGGAGGCGTGAAATTGGTTTGGAGCAAACACATTACGGAAAGCAATTACCGGGGAGAAGTTCTGGGCTCGCGGGACCCGCAGCCAGGAGGCTAGGGAGGAAGCTCCCTGGCTTGCAAGAGCGTCTGTGGATGTCTAACCCCAGAAAGGACCTTCCTAACACGGCCTGCTAATGGCAGAACGGGTGAGGCTGGGCCACAGATATTGCCCACTCTACATCGTCTTTCTTCCCTTACTGCTATCCTCCTTAAAAAGGCATCCTGCCGAAGATCCAGTACTCTCAGGTATGGTCAGAAATCCTTCTCCCTTCTTACCACTTTGGGAGAGGCAACCACCTCCTGTGAAGTCTTCCCAGGTCCCTGCCCCTACACGCCCTCAGGTCCTGCTCCCACATGTCTTTTGCATTCACTTAATTGCCCCTTGTATTTCAACTAGTGATTCACACCCTTGTTTTTCAGACTAGATGGGAAATTCACTGAGGGCAGGAACTGATCTCGTTCACAGCTGTAGATCTAGTGCCTAAAACCTGGGACTCAGGAGGCGCAAAATGAATGATGTGGATGGGATTAAATAAAGTTTCCATCAAAGTGCAAAACAACTCTCTCAGGAAAGTCATCCCCTCGAGAGTCAGGATTCTCTTAGAACAGAGCTTTCAACATCTTTCACATGCCAACGATCCCATTTATATCCCCAGACCTGACCTTGTCTCTGAATTCCAGATTTCTAGATCTAAACGACCTTGTAACATAGCCTCTTTGAGATGTGTAATAGACAGCTCCGACTTCATACCTCCCAGAGTGACCGCCTCATTCCTCCCCCACCTGCCCCTTGCTCATCTTCCCCACCTTAGTAATTAGCACCACCATCCACCCAGTTGTTCAGCCCAAACACTGAGTCTCATCCTGGATTACACTTTCCCTCAGCCCCCACATCCAGTCCATCAGCATGTCTCCTCCAGTCTCCAAACAGGGTCCCAAGTCTCGCCCACTGCTTCCCCATCTCCGGGGACTCGACTTCAGCAGGAGCCCCCTAATGGTCTTTGATTCTTCCTGGCCTCTCCCCTCTCCCCAAAGCCATTCAGAGATCTTTCCAAACCTACATCAGTTCAGGGCACTCCCGGGCTCTTCCCCACTCCACTCACGGGCCTGGGCCTCAGGTCAAATGTCACCTCCTCCAAGAGGCGGCTTCCCTGTCACGCAGTCTCCAATAGCTCCAAGCAAGCTGGCAATCACCGTGTGAATTCCTCAGAGGGCTTAGCACAGCGGCACCTTGCCGCCCATTTGCTTAGGGTCCCCTCCCCCTAGAAGGTACTCCGGGGGGGACTGGAGAGCCAGGCCTGTGTGCGTGGCACCTGGACCACAGGGGCACGTAAGCCCTTGCCCAACATGGGCCACGGGGCATTCTCCCAGGCCTCCGCCCCCGGACAAGACGGGCTCTCCGGGAGAGGCCCCACACGGTGAGGGGAACTGGCACATGCGCGAGCCCCGGGGAAATCGCTGCCCGACCCCTGTCTCGCATCGCCTGCCTGTGCCGACTTCCCCACCCCCGCTCCCAACCCGCGCGGGCCTGGGGCCTGAGCGCTCAGGACTTAACCAGCGTCGCCAGAGCCGAGGGGCTGGGCCTCCGTCTGGCGGCCCCGTCCTCCCGTCACGCCCCACAGGGCGGGTCAGCCCAAGGCCCGTGAGGCCAGGTGAGAACCCCCGGGGCCCACTCACCTCCGCCCCGCTTCTCCTAGGCTTCTCTCTCCAGGCCCTCTGGGGCTTCGCGCCCTGCCAGCCCCGCCCCCGCCGCCTGCGTCCTCCAGGCCCCGCCCCCGCAGCCTCGTTCCCGAAGTTGGCGGGAAAGTTGTGACCACCGGCGCTTGCGCACTCTGGGGCCCTGGGAAACCTGCCCGGCGACCCTTGACGTCGCGGATCACAGTGCACTTGATTGGCTGCTCTGCGACACCGGTCAGCTCCGTCTTTCTACTGTGGTTGCAGACCGACTCCTGCGTGCTGACCACCTGCAAGGTCTTAAAAAGCCTGGCACTGCAAAGACCCTCAGGGACTCTCTCCTTTCTTGTCTTACGGATGTGAGCAACTTGAGCCCAGAGAGGGGAAGAAATTTAAGTTCCACAACCGAATGGCTGAGCCCCCGGACGTAACGCTCAGCTCCGCTCCGGCTGCCACAAAGCTAAGTCCAAGAGAGGCAGGAACCAGGCGTGCGTCCGGTGCTCCCTGACCTATAGGACAGGCAGTAGCTAGAGTTGTTTTTTTCCAAACCTGAAACTTCCACTCTCACCTGAACCACGGTTACCCTCCCTGGTGGCTGACACCTGCACCCACTTTTCACTGGCCTTCTTGCTCTTCACCTCACCTCCCTACCCCAAGGCTGCCTTTCCCATCCTGTCCCACCATCCGCACTGCCTCATTCCTGCAGCAGCTCTTCTCTACCCAAGCCTGTTTGCTCACCCATCCTCTGGCTGGTTGTCCTGACATTAACTCACCTGGTGGCCCTTGTGCCACATCATTGCCTGGGGCAGCTCAACAGCTGGTAGATGCCAAAGGGGGAGGATGACCCCGCTGGCGCCATGGGGCAGATCGGGGTGAGGGGGCCCATAAGTCTGCCCATCCTGAGTCCCCTGAGTGAGCAGCTCAGAGGAAGGCCTGCGGGAGACAGCACCAAAAAAACACAGGCCTGCAGATTTTTAATGCTCATACAGGGATCGGATGGGCTGGAGGGGTGCCTCAGACCACCAAGAGGAGTGCCTCACTTGCCACGAGTGCCAGTTGTCTCTCTGTTAGACATCACCTGGCTGAATGGTCTGTCTCTCTCTCCCGGGTGGGGATGGCAGCATCCACATCTGCCCGAGGAGCTGGACCTCCTGCTGACAGAGCCACCTCGGCCCGAATCAGTTCAGCTCAGTCCTGGGTTGGGGGTGCGGAGAGCCGCAGACTGGAGCCCCCTGGGGCATCTGCTTTCAGGTCTCTCAAAAGGCAGTGGACAGACATCTGGAAAGAGAGGTGTGGATTCAGAGAGGTCCCAAGGTCCAGGAGGCTGGCTGGTTCTGGCCAAGGCCCTGCCCCCAACTCTTCTCTTGCCTCCTACCCATCCCTCTAAATGCCCACAGAACCCGGCACTCACCTAGTAGAGCACGTCCTCAAAATCCAGCTGCAGGTAGCGGAGCAGGCGGGATGGCAGGGGAAGGCGGGGCAGGGCGTGGGGCAGGCAGGCGGCCAGGTGAGCACGGAGCGCACATCGGCTCAGATGCTGCAGCGATCTGGGCTGCCTCACCAAGGCGAAAAGGGAGGAATAGAAACGGTGGTGCTTCTGGGGACAGAATGAGGGGCTCAGTGAGGCAGCCTTGGACAAATGGCACCCTTTCCTCCCAAAGCGGGTGGGCGGGGGGGAGGGGGGAGGGGAGGCTGGTGGCCAGCAGGTGTCTACAGGAGCCTCAAGAAGTAGTGTTTTGGGTGT